ATTGAGCATAGAAACAATCCCAAAATAGACTGCTTAGGGTATAAGGGTCTATTATGGCATAAATACACAGGAAGAGAATGAACAAGTTAGTGCTTACCTGGCGCGGAGTTTTATAGTGTCGCTTCCACTACAAGGTTCATTAAATTAACTGATGGAGGCTTAATGGTCTCTGTCCTTGTGACTGAGTTTCTCACAGAATCACAGAATCGTAGTGGTTGGAAGGGACCTCAGAGATCATCGAGTCCAACCACCCAAAAAAACAAAACAAACAAACAAACAAACAAACAAAAACAACAAACACAAACCACCACCTAAACACACAACAACAACCACCAAACCAAAAACCATCACCCACCCACTCAGCAGCCCACCACAAACCAGTAATCTTGGGCACTAGAGCATGCCCTGAAGAACCATGTCTACACGTTTCTTAAATACCTCCAGGGATGGTGACTCCACCACCTCCCTGGGCAGCCCATTCCAATGCTGGATAACCCTTTCAGTAAAGAAATGTTTCCTAATATCCAACCTGAACTTCCCCTGGCGCAACTTGAAGCCGTTACCCCTTGTCCTATCATCTGTAACTTGGGAGAAGAGACCGACCCCCGTCTCTCTACACCCTCCTTTCAGGTACTTGTACAGAGCGAGAAGGTCTCCCCTCAGTCTCCTCTTCCCCAGACTGAACACCCCCAGCTCCCTCAGCCTCTCCTCGTAAGACTTGTGCTCCAGACCCCTCACCTCTCTCGTGAAAGTCTTTCCCCATCCAGATTTGTTACAGAAGGGGACCACTGGTAGAGGATGCCTTTATTCTCTTTTTATGGAAGGTTCTTCTGGTAATCTATTCAAATTTAAAACTCCTCTCTTTCCCAGCAATTCCTTAATCCTTCTCCCAGCCGCAAGAGGGCTTAGATCTTATTGTAACTTCATCAGTGTCTGCTTTCTCATGCTTTGGAAATATAAATGGCTGAGTGTGAACCTTTCTACTCAGATAGTAAATAAAGACTGTTAACCAATATAAGCCACCATAAGGCAAAGAACCGTAACCACCTGTTAAGCAATATTCAAACCTGAGAGTGAAGCTCTCTCATACATTGATCCTAATGTTTTTTTACAGATTCACAGAAATTGGTGATTTATGCCATATACAGATGAATTTAACTCTTCACTGCCTTTTTCAGGGATGAGACATGGAGTAATCAATTTGGGATGGTAAAGGACTTGTGGATGGCACCATAATAGTATCTGTAGAGCATATGATACTTGTGGATGCTCTGAAAGTTAGACCTGAGTCTGGGATGTGTTTGGACTTCAGTATCCCTGTCTGCTGGTTCTCAGCCAAGTCAGTTTTGTTGGTATTTTTGCAATATGTAAATATGTGGAAAAGGAACATTATCTAAAATATCTGGTTTACTGTTCCAGCAATCTTAAAGCTTTAGGATTCTCTTTGTTCTCTAGTGTCTTGTCCTTTACTGGGACCTGTGTCAGCTAGTTGCCTTTTACCTGCTACCTGTTACTTTTTTCATTCAATACACTTAATGAGAACAACTAACAACAAATAGTATGTAATTTGCATTCTAGCTCTTTAAGTAATAAAAACAATCTCAAAGCAAAATTAATAATCTTTGAACAACTATGGCAATTAGGAGAGATGCCCGAGGACTGGCAAAAAGCAAATGTTGCTCCTGTCTTCAAAAAGGGCGAGAAGAAGGACCCAGGGAACTGCTACACCTGGGAAGGTGATGGAGCAGCTAATCTTGGAAACCATTTCCAGGCACATGAAGGACAAGAAGTTGACCAGGAATAGTCAGCATGGACTTACAAAGTCATGTTGGAGCAACGTCATAACCTCCTTTGATGAAATGACTGGCTTGGTTGATGACCTTGACATCAGTAAGGCTTTTGGCATGGCCTCCCATAGGATGCTCATAAAGAAGCTGATGAAATCAGTCAGTAACTGGTGGAGTAACCCAGGGATCAATACTGGTTCCATTTATCAGCTTCATTAGTGATCTGGATGATGCAGCAGAGTGTACCCCCGGCAAGTTTGCAGATGAATGCTGGGGCGAATGGCTGATACACCAGAGAGTAGGGTTGCCATCCAGAGGGACCTCGTTAGGCTGGTTTTCACCCATCTACAAAAGAATTGAAAGAACGAGAACTCCTCATATTTCTTGAAACCTGCCCACTGTGTGAGATGCATGTCACTTAGAGATCAAGAGCACACATAAGCTCCATGAAATATCCGTATAATCTATTGGCAATCTATGGAATGCGTTCAGCATCTCCTCTTGATCAGCCCTAAACAGATTTACACAAATCTTGAATCCAGGGGGTTTAATTTGTTTCTCTGCTTTCTGGAACTCATCTTGGCTTGACTGCTTTCTATCCAGGCAAAAAGATATTTAAAAGATATCTCTCTTTTTGTGATGGAAAAAGGTGCCCATTCCTTTCACAAAGTGAAAAATAAAGAAGCAAAGACTGCTTTCTATCCAGGCAAAAAGATATTTTCTCTTTTTGTGATGGAAAAATGTGCCCATTCCTTTCACAAAGTGAAAAACAAAGAAGCAAGTACCCCCTCCTCCAGCCTTTCAGAAATGAATTTGTCTCAGGTATCAGATGTCCCTGTATAGCAGTATTAGTTACAATTTGTTAATAAAACATCTCTACACTTTTCCAGCATTGACTTTTTTTGTTTCCTCAGTAGTACTCATAAGGGAAATTTATGTAATTCCATGAATTCTCATAAACTACATCCTAAACAAAAGCATAAGGCCAGGTATAAGGCTTTTTTTGCCTCAGCTAAGCTGACAAAAGACATATAGTGTTAAACCACATATTTTGCTCTTACAGTTCATTGTTTTTTGGATAACATTTGCCCTGAAGATATGAGACATTACATTCAAAGTGAGAACCTACTTCAGTTTAACAGACACATTCTGTATTCACATTGAATGTGGGAATTACAAGGGCAGAGTGGGATGTATTTGTAGTCTTATTTGCATGCTAAAATTCAAATTGTTCTCCTGACTATGGCTTGTATCATAGCACTGTTGCAGATTCTGATACAGGCACAGTTCCAAAGATACTGGTAGTTTTTGAATGAAGTTTTTATCTGCATGTTTTACAGCTGAGGTTTGCATGAAGCATCCTAAGAAGGGCAACCTGAAAGGGAAATGGTGAAAAAACACATAGCAAAAAGTGCCACTGTGAAACCATTTCCTCCTCTATAGACTTATTATACCAGCAGCTAACTTTGTTTTGCTTAACAAGTTAGACTATGCTAAAGACAGAGCATTCAGGTTACAGAAAGTTCAAATCTCATCAGCAATAAAGAAGAAAGACAATATATGATATACTAACCAGAAAATGAATAAATAACTAATAAAAAAGACAATCGGTGATTTTAGAATGATCAGACAACATCTCCAGAAAATACTGCAGTGTCAGGCATGCTATAGTTACAAGACATAAGCATGTATAAAATGCTTGTAAGTATGTATGTATATAAGCTAGTATGTATCAGGAATTTGAGAATGTATGTAAAAAAAGAGATATTTTTTTTTGCATTCTGTTTGCATGTAAAATGCAGGGGAGCTGAATCATTTTTATTACCCTTAGATAAACTTATTTATTGGGGCTAGCAAGTGCATGGTGGCCTGCTTGTCTTCTCACAATGAAGAGAGGGACATTGACTTTTTTATTTTCATTTTTATATCCATAAGAGGAATATGCAGAAATAATTTACATTTAAACAGAGAAAGGTGAGGATTTGATCGTTAGATTTCTTCCTCTAAGGTATTTCTCTTTATCAAACTGGCACCCACAGGGAGTAAATTTTAGGGGACTGTGTGTTGGGTTGTGGGTTTTTTTAAAAAAAGATCTGATTGAGAAATCTCCGACATAGTACTTTGGTAGGAAAATACTGGTTTTATTCACAGCAGGTCTTGTGGCAATATACTCCACTTTCAAGTGTGTTTTTTAAATAATAAATATTAACCTTTGCATGAGTCAGTCAAGATGACCACAAAGGATAATAAAATTGGACTGAATACACAAGCATTGCTGAAACACTGCTCTGTGTTCCACCATTCACCGTGACTTGACAGTCAACAAATAAACCCTGCACCTCAGTTTATAATACAGGAACCCCTGGAGTCCATCTCAGTTTAGAATTGTCAGAGGGAACAGCTAATTTTTTTTTAATATGGAATGAACAGCAGAGGAAAGAAAAAGGCATCAGAAAATCAATTGCATGAAAATGAACTTGTTTCAGATGCCAACAGTCCTCCAATCATTTTCCCAAACACATAACTGACTAGGAGTTATCTTTTAAAATCTTGTCAATGTTAATCTCAGAGTGCAAAACTCAGCTTTTGGAACAAATTAGGTCAGTTCCATCAGTACTAAAGTACATTTGTTTGAAAGCTTTTAAAACATAATGGAAAAAAACTGTGACTACACAGGCTAGTGCTCAAAAATCAAAAGGGAGAAAAGTTCCCTGATTGTGAAAGACTATGAAAGAGGTACTGCCATTTATTCATTTATTCAGAATAAAAGATAATTCGTTTGGAACCTAATAAAATATGTCATCATCGCTATTTGATATGAGTTCTTCTGCAACTCCTCAATGTATCTGAATGTGGCTGTGAAATATAGAATCAGAAAATATATGTGTGAATTTTAGGGACTTCCATTCAGGTATCCCAAAATGCAAATATTCCGGAAGAAGTAGGACTACAACATCGAGAGGAATAATGGATTTAAATGTGAAATTGTCAATAATTCCTAATCTTATGCTACATGTACGTCTCATTGAGCCTTTTAGCTGAAATCTTTTTGATATGTGGAACCTGGCTTGTGTTCACACTAGACATTCATGATGTTATGTCTCACTTAATGGAAATGAAATCACACAGATGTTTTCTGGAAGAACACGTAATAGACTCATGGCCCCAGTTTGAAAGCCATAAATATTAACTACCTCTTCCTTGTTTTCCTAGCTCCTGTCCGCTACTTTCAATGTGTCTTCCTAAATGGACCTAATGGATTTGGACTGCAATTTCCCACTAATCACCCTTCAAACAAAGAAGAAAAGATTCACTCAAAGACTTCCAAGGGAAAGACAAGGAAACCAGGGCAGTAGAGAGACTGAGTCCCGTGATTGTTCACATTTTGCACTTTATCTTTTCTACTAAGGTCCACAGTAGTTACAGCGGTACTTGTCATTGCAAGAACGTGATCCACTTGGACACATGTACCTGGAAAAAGTTTCCATGGGGCAGAGGCAAAACAAGCAGTAATGAGCTGTGTTTGACAAAGGTAGAAATGTAAAAGTGCCCCGTTCCTCATGGAAAGGCTGCAATGTTAACAGAGCATTGGCCTGATGGTGTGTGTGAGCGTGTGTGTGTGTGTTTTCCTGCCTCTCTTGCTCTTCTTGTTTTTCTATACCTACCTGCTCAGCATTGAAGTGAGTCTGTTTCCCATTTAATCTTATCTAGAGAGTGAAAGGTTGAATATAGCTCTTATATCAGCAAGATTGCAAGACTACCTGCAATCCTAAATCATGTCATCTTAGCATTCTATCAAACTGCTGACAGGGAAAAAGCCTCACTAAGTCATGAAAATGTGCTCTGTGACTGGTGCTATTTTTACGTCTCATTGACCAGTGTAGCCTGAAGCTCACACTTGTGCTGAGCAGCTCGATATACTATCAGCACGTTGACTCCGCAAGTCATGTTAATGATGAATATTTCTGTTTAACTCAAAGCAGTAGAAGCATGGTCTGTTTGCCCTGCCTGTTGGTAAAATACAACCTCTTCAGTTTCTAAAGCCCAAAGTGAACAGAAAAAAATGGAACGACAGAGCAAAGGTGAGGAAAACTAGTGTTTCACCAACACGGAGGCCCCAAGAAATAAATGGAATAATTTTAGTACTTCTACTTTTCTTCTGTGAGTAAATCAGATTGACTTGCAGTGAAGATGATGTAAATGGAGAATATATCAGCCAACCATTTCTTTTTAGCATAAGTCAGATGAAAAGCTATGATGTTAAATGCCACTCGTGAAACTAAAGCAACCCAAATTTCCAGTAGGTAAACATGCCAATTTAATGCAATCTCAGATCATTAAAAAAAAAAAAAAAAAAAAGGCATAAAGAAAAACACCAAAACAACAACAAAACCCAAACCAACCAAACAAAAAACCCAAATAAACCAACAAACAGGAGCATACGAAATAACCTGAGTAGCTGATTTTACTAGACGAAATGAAAGGATTTCCTCACAGCACACTACTGTTGATACCTTATAGAGGAGAACTGGAATTGGATATGCCAATTCTCAACCTTCTTTTCTGCATTTCTGTAGAAATAATGGATTGCTTGCCTTAAGAAAGAGATGGGATGACATTTGACACATGTGAAGGCACATGTCTGAAAACTGCCATCTCAGTTGCCTGTATGCCTGGCATTGTAAATAATCATATGTTTTTCCAAGCTGCTATTTGTTTGTATTTCCTTACTATATTTTTGCATTTAATCTGTTAAAAGTACAGCAGTGATCTTAGTTGTATAGTTACCTGGTGAAGTAGCATGGTGCTCTTTGTACAACCCAGCTACTTGTAGAGTCTGATCACACCAGTAACTATATACTGCTTTTTTATTTTTAGCATAGTTCAAGATAACATCAGCCCCTTCCCTCACTCTCTCTCCCTGCCAACCTATTCCTACCTTAATCAAATAATTGACTCACATGAGTTTCGGACAACTGAGTTTTTGACAGGTTGATGCAATTCAGAAAGTTTTCTTGTTACACTGCTGGGTCAGGTTGGTACTCTCTGATCATAGCCTAATGTGAACTGGATTCTTGGCCTTAATGCACTCTCGAATTGCACAGATCCTGTGCTGCAAAAACTGTCATTGGTTTCTGGAAAGAGGTAGGAATTGGTCCTGCCCTAGGAGTAGCTCTTACCACATAGGAGTACACTGCAGATAAGAGTGTTCATGGTGAATACCTCCATTGTCTCTGTGAAATCTGCTCTGGAGATAGAGCTGCCAACAGAGTAATAGAGTAACAGTGTTTCATGATGAAATGACAGTTTTTCATTTTCTTTCAGTGGGCCTTTTTATATTTCCAGTTACTTTTTTCCTTCCCAATTCGTGATTTTGTATATACTATTATGGATGTTCTTCCCCTGGGTTTTTACTGTGAAACCTGTCTTAAAAGATTATAACTTTCTTAAAATCAGTTAATTTAATTCAAGACTATATCTAATTCCAATAATCTGCATAAAATTCTAATATATTATAAACTGTTATTTTTTTCAGCTTATTTTGGTAAAATAAATTTTGTTCGTTATAGCTAGCCTTAATCCTTTCTTCCCAATTGAGTTGGGAGATGACAAAAATATGTTCTAGATCTCATTTTGATAATGTTTTGACTAGATAGCTGAAAACTTTGGAAATACAAACAATTTATGTCACTGAAAAAGTGATATAAAATCAGTCATTTATTGTTGTTTCCTAGTCTCAGTCACTGCCTCAAAGAACAGAAGAAATAGGTCCACTCTCAAAGTGGCAAGCATTTTTCTCTTTAAATCCACCTGGAAACTTAAAAAAAAATCATTTGAAGTGTGTGGGTTTACTCAAATTAGCCTGAAATATTGCAAAATCATATGCTGATTGTTATCCATTTGGAAAATAAAGAATATAAACCTTGTTCCAATGGCTGTGATATGTTTTCCTGTGAATCCAAAAGTGGAGGAAAAGGGTTTACAGACATAAGTTTTCTACCCCTGCTAAGTATATACAAATCTTCGGAATATAAACATGCAGCATTTCTCACAATTAGGCTGGAAAAATTAATCATTTAGCATTGTATTTATTCCTAATGAGCTTTTTGCAATTCTTACTTAGTCTTTTTACACACTTTGTGGGTTACACTCTGAGACATGAAAACCTAAGTGATTACTGCAGTCATTCAGGGCAGGCCTTCACCTGTACCAAAATCACCTATGTTCATCTAAACAGTTACTTAAAATACAACGGCACAACCAGCACAGACAAGCCCACAGTCTCCAGTGACTAGTCCGTAGTCCAGACAATTGGGAAAATGACCACCAAGAAACTTGAGAGAGTGAAAATGGTGATTTCCTGCACTCCCCACCCAGGATCTATGGCTTACCTGTATCAGCAGTGGCTAGGACAGGTGAGCTGCTGCAGGAACCAGAGGACATCCTGAAGATAGATGGTAGACCTGCCATTGCACAGCTCTGCCGTGGGTCTCAGAGCCATTTGTCCTCTGGAGTTTGGTGACCCTGCCCACATGGGAGATTTGTTGCTCAGCACTTTGGTTGGGCAGGTGGGTCAGCATTTCTAATCCCTTCTTCTTGAGAAAGTGCACTTTCCCTGAAGTCAGCAGGAACAGAAAATTTCCAGCAACTCTGAAAATCAAGACTTGGCCCAGCCCAATGAGATGCGTTTTGCACTGCTCAGGCAGGAGCTCTGCTGGCCCTCACCAGTCCAGCCCACGGACTCTGACTGAGCCTTCATCCACGCTGGGTGTTCCACACTCCTACCCACACCGCAGTTAGGGGCCAATTTTGTCCATCTTAAAACCTTCCAGCAAACGGGAGTTGTTCTCAGTGGCTCATTCCTATTGCTCCAGTTGCTGACACATTTGTGGGTCAATTTTGCCTGGGTCTACTTTATCCATGACAAGTAATCAGCCTGCCTGTCTTTCTCTCAACCCACAAGCCTTCTCATTCCTATTCTTCCTGTTTTCTCTCCCTGAGGGGCAAAGTGATCGAGCAGCTGGGTGGGAGCTCAATCGTTAACCAAGGCTAACTCACCACAGCTGGCCCCCTACCACAAGAGGGACATTGAGGTGCTGGAGCGGGTCCAGAGAAGGGCAACGAAGCTGGTGAGGGGTCTGGAGCACAAGTCTTACGAGGAGAGGCTGAGGGAGCTGGGGTTGTTCAGTCTGGGGAAGAGGAGACTGAGGGGAGACCTTATCGCTCTGTACAAGTACCTGAAAGGAGGCTGTAGAGAGACGGGGGTCGGTCTCTTCTCCCAAGTTACAGATGACAGGACAAGGGGTAACGGCTTCAAGTTGCGCCAGGGGAAGTTCAGGTTGGATATTAGGAAACATTTCTTTACTGAAAGGGTTATCCAGCATTGGAATGGGCTGCCCAGGGAGGTGGTGGAGTCACCATCCCTGGAGGTATTTAAGAAACATGTAGACATGGTTCTTCAGGGCATGCTCTAGTGCCCAAGATTACTGGTTTGTGGTGGGGTGCTGTGTGGGTGGGTGATGGTTTTTGGTTTGGTGGTTGTTGTTGTGTGTTTAGGTGGTGGGTGCTGGTTTGTGTTGTGTGTTGTTTTGTTTTTTTTTTGGTTTTGTTTTTTTTTTGTTGTTGGTTGGACTCGATGATCTCTGAGGTCCCTTCCAACCACTACGATTCTGTGATTCTGTTACACAGATCCTATGCACCTTGTGCTGAATGGCAACAAATTCCAATTTGTCCTACATTTAGCAGTTCCACTTAAAACAGAACATACATAACTTGTACATTGCCGCAAAGATTTATCCCATCCATCCCCAACTCTAGAACTGCACTGTTAGTTTTTTTTTTTTATACACAGCCATTTACTACTTAGTATAGTCTAGTTTAGATGCCAGATTCCCTACAGAAAAACTCTGTAACACTGTGCTTTAATCCAACATAATACGAGGAGAGCAATAAGCACAGTTGCAGAGGCATGTCTTTATCTGCCAGGACATAGGCACTCAGGAGAGAAGCTGAAAGACTCTTCCCTTTCCTATCTTACTTAATGCTCTACTTCCACTTCAGCATCCCACTGTATAATCCACTCAGTATAATGAGGAATGAGTGAAAGACTTACTCCTTTAGGGAGAACACTGGTTGTTTAAGCTGCTTTAGACTTAAGACAGTCAGCTGCTGACTGCCCGCAGTTATATACCATCAATAGCACTTCTTTCCAAGGATTCAGGATTTTGGAAGCCAAGAAAAAAAGAAAAAAGATAACGTGAATAGCATTGGGAGAAGGAAAAAGGGAAGGCATGAGGGGCTGGTAACTGACAAAATAAGAGGAAATATCAAATGCCTTATCAGGGCTCCTAGGTAAGAACTATACATAACAGACCAAGAATTTGGTAAAGATTCAGCTTTAAGAAGGTGATATTTCTGCCGCCTTTCAGTTCTCCAGAAGGAAGAAATACAAAGGCAAATGAAAATATGAAGCTTGTAATGTTTATATACCTGAAAAGGTCACTAGATATCTAGCTGTCATACCATCTCTTTATCCTGAGTGAAGTTCTCCAGAAATTCCCAATTAGCCAAATAGCTAAGTAGTCATATTATTCACCTGTAGGCAAAACCTCCTTATAAAGAGTGTACCTCTCAATGCAGAAGTCTTAGCCTTTTTAATAAAACAATGAAATAACATGACCTGTTGTGGTTTTTCTCTTGGTTTATGGATTTCTCTGCATGCTCATTGCTTGTGATAACCCTGCACAAAACAATCTGTTCTACAGTACTCACATCTAAAGAATTGTGTTAGATATTGCTGTAAATACTTCTCAGGAGTTTTCTTCAATTTCCAGTCTTGTCTTTTATTATGACAGAAATGAGTAAAATTTGTAGAATGCAATTTTATTTTGCCTGGCCCAAAAGCCCAGGAATTTAATTTACCCAGCGATGTTTCCTTTTGGAAAGGTATTGCAAAAAATGCACTTTCCAGACATCAGCTTTATCATGTACAGGGAAAAAGGAGGTTCTGTTTTACTAATAGTCACTAGATAAAATCCGTTTACAACTTTGAACCTGTTTCTTTGCATGAGTTTCTTATTTTCAAAGGGAAAAATATGTCCTTGCTAAAACAACCAATGTGACCCCTGTGTTCCCTTTTGTTTGGTTCCTGTTCTGTGTTAGGAAAAACCTAGAGTTGTTAAATTTTCTATAGATTAAAGGATACTCTGCCCACAGACAAACTTCCTTCCAGATTTGTTTTTACCTGAAATCTTCTCCTAATTCTCTCTCAGAATACCTAATGGTAATAAGCATGCCCATATCCTAAACATTTGGGTTTTTTCTCAGTCACCAATAGGAAATTGTATTAAGTAATATTG